AGGAACACGTGGCTGGGAAGGCTCCGCGTTTCACTCGTTTCCCCCGAGCGCCTTTTCCCAGGGTGGCATTTTGGGCTTTCCCCCTTGCTGGAGGGAATTCCCATTTGCTGGGGCTTGTTGAACAACGCGCCGGAGCTATTCCGGCCTCGCGGAGCACGGGTGCCTGCAAAGCGCTCCGAGCCATCTTGTCCGGGGGACAAGGACACACGGCCAAAGTGACAGCCACAGCCCCGAGGGGCTGCCTGGGGAAGGGCAACGCGGTTAGAGGGAATAGAAACACCCTTAAAAAAAAAGAACGTGCAGCTAGTCCCAGCAGCGTGCTCAAAGGCGCAAGGGCATTTGGCAAGCAGACAAGTTCATCGCTGCTGGGAAAGCCTACCCCAGGGAGGCTGCGCTTCCCAGCTCCCCTTGGATCAGCACTCAAATCCCACATCACTTACCTCTGAGTTTGCACTGCTGCAGCCGAACACGACCCGCTGCCAACCTCGGGGCAGCTGACTGCTCTCCTGGACACACGGCTCCATTAGGGGCATACGAGAGCGGACGGGACGCTCTCCTCTCCCTCTGGAGCCACCATCTGCTCTTCCAATGAGGATTTCCAGGCTTTTCCTGCGGGAGATGCAGGCTGTGGAGCCCTTGACCGCGCTCAGCCGGGAACGCATCAGCCTCTCCCATCCCGAACCATCCGCCGGGAGCCCTCGGACCACTCGTGTCACCTCGAGGACGCTCCTAGCACCAGGACAGTTCCCAGTCTCACAATTCCAATGCAGACCCACAGTATTTTTCAATCTACTTGTTTTAGAAGCCTGTCTTGTCTTCTTGCTTGCAGCAAGTACTTTATTTCTTACAACTCCTCAGCCTCCCAAACACAAAAAGCTGCTTTACTGCTTCCCCGCAGCTGTCACCACCTTCCTGTTCTTGAAAGGTTTCAAATTCGGATATCCCACCAAGGCAAGCTCTTCCGGAGTTTCTCTTCCCGTTTTTACTCCCAGGGAATTCATTCGCATTGACAGAAGGATCGTTTCTTTCATCACTCCTTTCCTTGCTTCCCTCAGAATCATCCTTCAGCACTTGCAGGGGACTCGCAAGCTGGAATACACCCGAGCGCTCAGAACAAGCAGCTTCTTCATAGCGGTGATTTTTATAGAAAAAGTTTTACCCAAAGACACAAATGTTCTCCCGAACTGAAGACAAAGGATTGTTGGACGGAGCCTGTCACAGCCAGGTCACACCACAGCTTTATGTGATCTCCACTTACCCGGGCACACGGTGCAGTGTTTTCCAGTATTTAAACTCCAGCAAGTACTAAGGCAAGGCCAGACCCCAATGTCACTACACCCCAAATCGTCCCATGCCACATTTGACCCTCCACACACCAGGAGCCATTAGAAATACCCCACAACTACTAGAAAACATTCCAACTTGACACCCTGCAGATAAAATAAGTCATCTCCACTATATTCCAAGAGCATGTAAGAAAACCCAACATTTAATGCAGTGTAAAAGTAATTATTATGAAATAAAACTAGCTGTTCACAATGTGGGAAAAAAACAACTTTTCACGACCTATCTCCAAGACGTATGCCTTTGCCATTATCTGCTATGCTCTGTAAATGTAAAAATAAATACTCCTCGCAGTGGAGTGCTGCCGCGAAGGCCTATAAGTCCAACAATAAAAAAGCTTCAGAGCTTAATGGCCCTTAAATGCTCAACATTTTTCACTTAATGTAAAATCCATCTGACCTAATAGCTGCGACTGAATTATACGTATGTTTTTTCTATTAAAAGTTAATTTTCTGAGTTGGCAGAGCAATACAAGCATTAGATGAAGCAAGTCCCGATCTCCATAAACTCTCCGGAATTCAGAGCTATTTCCGAGTCAGTCGCATACCCCCTCTCAAAAGGTCTGTGTTATCCAAGAGCAACGTTCTTGGACAGCGATCCGTCACCAGCTGCAGCGCTCCGTTGCCTTCCCGATGCTGCAGCGCTCCGGAGCGGAGCTCCCGGCACGGCCCGGACCTCCCGATACCCCTCGCTCACACCCTCCTGTTTCCCTTCTGTCCCGTTCCAGTTTCCTTTCCGTTATCTGCTTTCGTTTCCTAAATAAGCCTTTCATCCCATACAGTGACTGAACCCATGGGCAACCCTAATGCTGGGGACGGTCATGCAGCCGTGAGCTCCAAAAGTGGCAGAGGAAGTCGCGCTCTGACGTGCAGCTGATGCATCACACGGGGGACACGGTCTCAATTCTGGCTCCATTCACTCTTTGGAGGATGAAGA